ACAGAGGTTTAACTGCATCTTCAAGTGAAACTAATGCCTCTTTTTCATATCCTAATATAGGTCTGAGCATTTGTGATGGTTCATCCCGAACATCCTCTGCTGCAAATCGTGGATTTATTTCATCACTAGTTGTCATTGTCCTTTTCTTTTCTACAAAACAAAACGATATGTTGTTTCATCCAAACATTTCCGACATAAATAAAATGTTAACACCGAGATCACGAATATACTGCTTTTTAAATAACAATAGTCCAAACGGAGCCTGCAGTGTGAGCTTGCCTGCTGGGATATTATGCTTGGCCGCCCGCTGAGTATCAGACGAAACTGTTTCTTGCAGGACGCATCGAATGGTATGAACCGTTACTCAGAGAGAAAGACTGTTGCTCTGCTGTCGTTTTTCTTCTAAGAGGTGTATGATAATGAGAGTAAATACTATTTAAAAGCAAAAGAAAGAACGCTTTTTTTTTGGTTCTGTCGCGTACACAGAACATACAGGTTCTTTGAGTATTTTAATCTGTTGTAAACTTTGAGTCATTTCTTTCTATGGTTACCAATTTATAATTCACGTTTTCTTTTTCTTTTTCTATTTAATGTAGTATTTCTGCTGCAGGTCCCGTCAATTCATTTTCAGCCGCTGTAGTCAAAAACCTATAACTAAACTGCGTATCAATAAATAACGGGTGCGCGAGAATAAATGTCCCTCTGCGTACTTTTTGAAAATTCTTTATTTTTTCAGAGTTTAGACAAAGGTTTTTTAATACAGACTCGCCATTTAGCCTTTTAATTCGCTAAAAAGAACGTGTTAAACATTTTCTTATAAAATTTTAACGTGAAAAGTGAGAAGAAAAATTCTGCAAAGCTCCGCAACACAATTTCAAAATTCTTTTTTATAAAGATTTGCATTTTTTCAACGATTATTCAAACACCAAAATGCGTCTCAGTAAGTTTTTGTTTACTTTCATGTCTTCTCTTTCTCGTCGTGTATGGTAAAAAGCACAATATATGTAAGAGTTACAAGGAAGACTATGATCTTTCGCTAGAATATTATACAACTCTTTCCCGTTTGGGAAAGATATATTTCCTGATTGAAAAATGGTGCGTTTCTATTATCGCTTTCGGTATATGTTTTTGTCCCAACTTAATCAAATCATAGGTAGTACTGCCGTGCCAAATAACATGGTCAGCATTACCGCATGAAGCCTTATTTGATTTTGAATTCATATCGTGTCAATGATTTAGAAAGAAAATCTTCGACTTTGAGAAAATAATTTATTTTATTTTTTATTTTAAAAAGTATACACGCTGGATCTAGTTATATTCAATATATTAATCACTTAACGGTTATAGTCCCTCGACTCAGAGATTCCTAATTGCTTCTGTAACGAATTTACTAGCTACTGAATAGCTACTGGCTGATGTTGCAAAACTTGAATCAAAAAAGGCGACTATAACTTACAGGTCAATTTTTGACTAAAAAATGGGATATACAGTTAAAGGTACATAAGATGTCTCCCAGCTCTTCACCATGTTTTCTGATAGAGTTATGATCATTTTGCTGGAAGCCTTTGAAAACGTCACATTTGTGTCATAATGTCCAAAATGATCATAACTCTATCA